CCAAGGTTGCCTACTGCTGGCCTAGGGTCACAAAACACACTAGATTAGACTAAAATTGCCCAAAGTCTCTGCCAGGCACATAAATTTTACAAAATAATAATAATAATAATAACAACAACAATGTGCGAATAATAATAATAGTAGTAGTAATAATAATAATAATAATAATAATAATAATAATAATAATAATAATAATAATAATAATAATAATAATAATAATAATAGGAAGGGACCTTGGAGGTCATCTAGTCCAACCCCCTGCTCAGGCAGGAAACCCTATACCATTTCAGACAAGTGGAAACCCTATACACTATACCAATTCAGACAAACGTCCATGTTGGAGCATTCACAGCTTCTGGAGGCAGGTTGTTCCACTGATTCTTGCTTTTTTTTCTGCCTACAGTATAAGCATGTAGGGCCAGCTCAGCAATCAGCAAATGTGAATCTAGGTAGTGGTAACAGCAGGACAAGCATAAAACCAGTCAGTGGAGTTTTCTAAGTAGCTAGTATGTGTGTGTGTGTGTGGGGGGGAAGAATCGACTCTCAAAGCAACTCTCTTATTTTGGGTACGTTTTGCAAATGTGAGGATTGTCAGATGCCTTTTTCCATGGTGAGGGGGCAGTGGCCGGATTTCTGTCTGCTGCGTTTCCCAGCATGGAGGGGGAGCCCTGCTGCTGGTCCCATTCTGCAGACTGAAATAGGAAGGAAATTCCTTCACTCAGAAATACCTCCTAGGATTTGAGCCCCAGCTGCCCTGGCTCAAATAGATTTTACTCCCGGAAAGTGTGCCATGTCTTCCTGCAGTAAAACTATGCTGCACAATAAGGTGTTTTTCTCCCCCCCCTTTTTCCCCCCTGTTCAAAATTGTTCCTTTTTGTTTTAAGGAAGCAATAAATCAATTAAAAAGGAAAGAGATGGGAATGAGAAGCAAACAAAATTTCTGAAAAACCATTGTACCTTCTGTCTGGATCTTTGCTGGGTCTTCTCCTCTGCTGTCCATGAAGCAGCACTCTCTCTGCTTCTCTCTCTCCCCCCCTTTAAATAATCAGAAAGTTTAGGAGGCCAGATCATTATGGGCCCAAACTGCCATGCCTGTACTTTTGTCAGATCCATGGGGTTCATCCCTAAAACTCTTGAAATCCTGAACATTTCAAGGCATGCACTGGAATCCTGTTGATGTGGACTTTAAAAAAATAATCCATTCGGCTAAGTTCCATTTCTGAGTAAAACTACCACAAAGCTGATAATAAAGGCAGACAATCAGTGTTCAATGTATTTTTTTACCTTTTTAAAAAAGAAAAGAGTATTGATAAGATATAAGATAAGATAAGATAAGATAATCTTTATTGTCATTTTTTTACTGTGGACACAACGGCACACATCAAAAATGAAATTTAGTTGCCCGCTCTCAAAGTGAAACACATACATGACACACACACCTAAAACATACTATATACAACATATGTATAGACCCAGCCCCCTACATATACATGGCAGCAATATATAGAGTCTTTGTTTTAAAATACAATATATTGAAACCATCCCAGTGCAGGCTGGAATAAATAAATGTTTAACAACTTACAGGCGGCTCATTTCTCAAAGCAAAGGTTTCCAGAAATCTTGAGGGATTGCACCCAAGAAACATTGTCACATCCTTTCCATTTTTCACACCTTTCAATGGTTTGGAAGAGAGCCTGGTTAATCCTAAAGATCCAGTCCACTTTTACGCAGGTAGTCCTCAGTGTACAACCACAATTGGGACCAGAATTTCCATTGCTGAGCAAGATGGTTCTTAAGTGATTTGTGCCCGATTTTATTATCTTTTTTTCTCATGGGTTGTTAAACATACCATGTCAGTTAAGTGAATCATGCAGTCATTAAATGAATCTGGCTTCCTCCATTGACTTTGGTTGTAGGAAGCCGGCTGGGAAAGTGGCAAATAGCGATCACAGGAACCTGAAACACTGAAGCCTTCATAAATACATGCCAGTTGTCAACCTCCTGAAGGCTGGCTGGAGAGTTCTGGAAGTGGAAGTCTACATGTCTTAAAGTTGCCAAGGTTGAGAAACATGGGTCTAGGTACTTCCGGGGATAACATCAAGGCCTTGTGCTTCAGAGGGATTTAAGAATCTCGCCCATTAAAACTCGGCCCCTAACCAGATCTGGCCCCATTCACTTGGTGTACTGGATGGGGAGAAACAGACTCAGGCTCAACCCTTCCAAGACAGAGTGGCTGTGGTTGCTGGCTCCCAGGCATAGTCAGCTGACTCCGTCGCTGACTATAGGGGGCGAAACTTTGGCTCCCTCAGAGAGGGTTCGCAATCTGGGTGTCCTCCTGGATCCACGGCTGACACTAGAAGATCAGTTGACGGCCGTGGCCAGGGGGGCGTTTTACCGGGTACGCCTGGTTCACCAGTTGCGGCCTTTTCTGGACCGGGACGCCTTGCGCACAGTTACTCACGCTCTTGTCACCTCCCGCCTGGACTACTGCAATGCTCTCTACATGGGGCTCCCCTTGAGGANTCAAGACATGGCTATTTAAGCTAGCCGGACTGGCCTAAGGGGAATTTTAATTTGGTTTTAAATAATTTTAAAATAGAAACGGCCAATAATGAATATTTCATTTTAATCACATTTTAAATTTAGTATTATTGTATTAGTTATCTGTTTTAACTGGCTGTAAGCCGCCCTGAGTCCGTTAGGAGAAGGGCGGGGTATAAATTCGATAAATAAATAAATAAAATAAATAAAAGGTGGCTTGCTGCTGAACTGGACTAGGGTCTTTGCCAGGCCACTGACTAATTGGGTAGAAAATCTCTCAAAGACACCAAAAAAAAAACCACACACACAAAAAAACACCATTCTAAATCCATGAAAAGTGAGCTCTTCCTATTCTGCCCAGACAGCCTGTAATCCAGGACTGATTGGATAGGAATTGGTCCATAAAGATGGGGTTAACTCAACTACAAAAAGTTACCTGAGGGTTCAGGATTACTGTGCAACCATTTTTTTTTTAAGTATCTTCATGCATGCTTGAAAGCATGGATAAGGTGAAGGGATTGAGTAATTCCAAGGTTTATTGGCAAGGCTTCAAAGCCTCCCCAGGCCAGTGCCGGTCCTTAAATTTAAAGCAAGTTTTGTAACTTGCATAATTTCCACAAATCTGCAAAGTTCACCTGTCCCTGTTTGTTGCTCAATGTGGGTTCCTTGATATTTTTTTTAATTAATGCATACTTAGGCAAAAAAGATTCTGCTGATAAATGCATGGAACTTCATAGAGAACATGGAGCCTAGCCACGCTTCAAGAACAATCCCAAACATGGAGATAGTGGAGATCCTTGTTTCTACTGAGCAGTTGCTTTAAATGAAGCAGCCTTTTTCAAAATTGTGTAAGGCCAGCCAGGTGTCGCAGGGGTCCACCTTTGATGCAGAAAAGGAAGTGGCATTTTCTTTGGTATGGTCAGTCAGAACTGTGATTTTATTTTAGAAAGGAGTATTAATAACATGTGAAGAGCTCCATTGCTCTTGGAGTACAGACTGCTAGAAATGCATCCTTTCTCTGTAATCATTTCTCCCTCATTCCCTCCCCCACTCCATTTTTAGTATGTATTTCTTTGCATTCCAAGACAAGGCTGTATTCTGAATACTTGGGTGTCTCTGAGGCTGTACTGGCCTATACTGGGATTGGAGGCCAAGTGAGTGGAACAGAGGGAGAATCTGTGAAGGGTTAGTTGTCCTGTCTTTCTAAGCAACCTGCATTAGGAGAAGCAAATCTTATTAAAAGTATCTAGAGGACTTTCAGGGCATGGCGTTCACCACCACAGGGCTTCTGAATTATCTCTAGAATATAAGACTGAAACCTGCGCCATCAGTTGTGGCAATTTTGCCCGACTGTTCAACACCAACAATTTTAACCTCAGCGAATGGAAGAGGGCTGCTTCTGAATCACCTTCCAGAGAAGAAATTTGAATTTTAACTCTGCCACCAGTTGCCTTGGTAGCCTTTCATCAATGTGTTTTTTGTTTCCCTAAGCCAGTGATGGCGAACCTTTTAGAGACTGAGTGCCCAAACCGCAACCCAAAATCCACTTATTTATCACAAAGTGCCAGAGCCGCATCAGCATTGTGGTGCCCTCAGGGGGCAGAGAGGTGCGTCTCAGTGCCACCTCTGGTACGCAAAAACCGGGGGCGCAAAAATGGGCCAGCGTGCTACAAGGTACAAAAATGGCTGCTGCCACACCGCAAAGTGCAGATACAAGGCGCTGCACCGCGTAAGAACAGGGCAGGGCTAGTGAGTATCACGCAGGCACTAGCCCTGCCCCATTTGCACCGTGTGCGTGCTCGCGACCCCGTGCACGCATGTACACGGGGTCTTTTTAACTACATTTTAACTACATTTAATTTAAAACTACATTTTAAATTTTGTATATTGTATTGATTGTTTTGTTTTAAACTGGCTGTAAGCCGCCCTGAGTCCACCAGGAGAAGGGCGGGGTATAAATGTAATAAATAAATAAATAAATAAATAAAATGCTTCCCTTCCAGTCCACCAATCGACAGTGGTTGGTGACCTCTGCTCTACCACCTCTACTTGAGCTTGCTGGTCGGCTGCTTCTCCTCCTTTGTGCTGGGTGGATCTCCTGCTCCGGGCAGTGGTGGCGGCCTGATGGACCTGCTGCTGGCGGCAGTGGCGCACGTGCCAACAGAGAGGGCTCTGAGTGCCACCTCTGGCACACGTGCCATAGGTTCGCCACCACTGCCCTAAGCTGTAACACAGGCATAATAATGGTTTTCCCTTCAGAGTTATTTTCTGTATTCTTCCAATTTGAGAACTGCATATGATGTACTTCATAGAAGCAGGAATGGTACACAAATATTGTTATCATGAGAAAACTAATTAACAAATAAAAATCTGGATCCTGGTTGATGTCTGAAGTCACTGTCCCAGTGATTGTTGCTTTGGCCAACACTTTTTCCTCTTCCACTTTTTCCCCAACATAGGGACCCCTGTGAACCGAATCCCGATCATGGCCAAGCAGGTGCTGGATCTTTATATGCTCTATGTTCTGGTGACCGAGAAGGGAGGCTTGGTGGAAGTGATCAACAAGAAGCTGTGGAGGGAGATCACCAAGGGTCTGAACTTGCCCACCTCCATCACCAGCGCTGCCTTCACACTGCGTACCCAGTAAGTCACAGAAGGACATTCAGGAGGTGCCTTCCCCAATCTGACTTCAGGTCGGGTCAGGCATTTATGGAGCAATATTTGTATAGGGAAAGAGGAAGAATTTGTTTTAGTGGAAAAATGACTATGTCATGCATGAAAACTACACAAGAATGAATGGAGGAATCTCTCCCACTCGGTCCAGTAAGAAAAAGATTCCGATAAAAAGGAGAATATTTGTAGCTCAGGGTTGAAATGAGGGGTCCTTGATGCTCTCTGAGTTTGGTTGTTTTCTTGCAAACGCTTCATTACCCAAAGTAGGTAACATCATCATTACATTGATGGGTAGTGAAACATCTGCAAGAAAGCAACCAAGCTCAGCGAGCACCCCTCAAGAAAAAGATTATTTTTTGTTATCCTGTGCAACTGACCTGCAGGAAATTCCCCAGATTGGGGAAGGACCACGCTGATTTGAGATAATGGGAGTTGTATCCAATATGGATGGATGGAAAAGGCTTGCATTTCAGACTGCAGTCTCTAGAGAAAACCAGCTAAATTTCCTAAATTTCCCCAGAATTTAAATCTCTATAGAAGAGCGATCAGTTCCAATACATTAAAAGGATTGTGGAATAGTGGGTCCTGATAACCATTATCCTATTTTGTGAAGTAGAATCAGAAAATAGGAGCCTTCCACTTTGTTCTGCCCTTCCTTTCTTTTTCCCTGACTTCTTTCAGTTCCCTTCCCCCATCTTTTTCATCCACCTTAATCAACACTAAAGTTAATTACTCTGGAATTCAGAAAACCAGGTGGCGGAAGGGGATTTGGGATGGTGGGGGAGGAGTAGAAGGAGAGCTATTAACTTTTTAAAAGCCGGGAGCCTTTAAAAGAACCACCAGCATTTTTTCACCACTCATGTGGATCTTGGAAATGGAAGTTTCTAAATTTTGAAGCATATTATCCTGGGCATCTGGTAAACAGGGAATATTGATCTAAAATATTTACTTGAAACATCCTTCCTCTGCTCCTCAGTTTAATAGGTTCCCTGAAAAGTTTCCAGAACAACGAATTGGACACATCCATATCCTTGATATTGGATTGTTTGTTTGTTTATATCCCACCTTTTTTAAATGAATAACTCAAGGTGGTGAACACATTCAATACTTCTTCCTCCTTTTCCTATTTTCCCCGTAACAACAAGCCTAGGAGATGAGTTGGGCTGAGAGAGAGAGTGACTGGCTCAAAGTCACCCACTTTGCTTTCCTGCCTAAGGTGAACTAGAACTCACAGTCTCCTGGCTTCTATCCCTGGTGAAAAGGGAGAAAAGCCAATGTGGATGGAATGAGAATATTATGTTGTTATTAACAACTAGGTTTCTTATCAGCATAGCTGTGTATGTTATATAGCATTTCGATTAAGATTCCCAATGGAGGAATCGGCAAATCAAAATTTCCCCGATGTATCAGAAGGGCAGAATCTAGTAGTGAAGGCACCAGGCTAGAAATCAGGAGACAAGATCTAGTCCTGCCTTAGGCAGGAAAGCCAGATCAAGGACTCGCATAGCAATCATGCAAGGTTTCTGAATGGCAATTCATGCATTTTCTTACGGTTGTTATAACAAACCTGTAAGGGAGATCACTTTTAAATGCCTATATAAATTTATATTTATATAAATATCAATGTGGTGTTAAGCAAGTACAGGTGGTTGTTGACTTCAACTGTTCAATTAACAACAGTTCGAAGTTACAGTGGCACTGAAAAATGTGACTTACAACCCGTACTTGCGCTTAAAACCCATCATGGCATCTCCATGGTGATGAGATCAAAGGCACTTGGCATCCGGCATATATTTGTGATGGTTGGAGTGTTCTGGTGCCGTGTGATTGCCATTTGCAACCTCCCAGCTAGCTTCTGACAAGCAAAGTCAATTGAGGAGCCTGGAATCAAAGTACAGGTAGTCCTCGACTTACAACAGTTCATTTAGTGATTGTTCGAAGTTACAACCGAAAAAAGTGACTTAATGACCATTTTTCACACTTATGACCATTGCAGAATTCCCATGGTCATGTGATCAAAATTCAGATGCTAGGCAATTGACTCACATGACCATTGCAGTGTCCCAGGGTCACGTGATTACCTTTTGAGACCTGACAAGCAAAGTCAATGGGAAAGCCAGATTCACTTAATAATCATGTTACTAATATAACAACTGCAATGATTCATTTAACAACTATGGCAAGAAAGATCGTAAAGTGGGGCAAAATTCACTTAACAAATGTCTCACTTAGCAACAAAACATTTGGGCTAAATTGTGGTCAAAAATCAAGAACTACCTGTCCTTAAGGGTCATATTTGGTACTTTGGATTATGCTAAATTATTATTTTTGCTCTAAAAAACCAGCCCATTCCACTGTACCTATACAGCTTGTCCTCACTTGGGACCAGCAACTCCGTTGCTAAGTAATGCAGTTATAAAGTAAAATGTCACATGACTGTGCGAACTTACATCATCAATTCTGGATGCAGTTGTGTTAAGTGTATCGTCCATAGTTGTTAAATGCAGTGTCTCATGATCGTGACTTGCGATCTCCTGCTGGCTTTCCCACTGACTTTGCTTGTGGGAAGTCAGCTGTGAAGGTTGCCATGGTGACTGTGTGACCACAGGACACAATGATTGCCGTAAAAGCACTCTGATTGTCAGTCACCCAAATCTCAATCACATGACCATGGAGACAATACGACGGTTGCAAGTTTAAGAAACAGTTGTAAACCTAACTTTTTCAGTGCTATTGTAACTTTGAACGGTTGCTGAGCTAGCAGTCGCTAAGCAAGGACTACCTATTTTGGTCTGGTACACCAAATTATATAAATTCACCAGTGTAATACATTGGCAGATTTAAAATACAATTAAAAAAAAATGCTGCTTTTGTTGGAGTCTATTAAATTAAGCAGCCATGATTTTTGTGTATCTCTTTTTTGTCTCCAAAAGATATATGAAGTACTTATATCCATACGAGTGCGAGAAAAGAGGGCTGAGTAATCCCAATGAACTCCAAGCAGCCATTGACAGCAACCGGCGAGAAGGCCGTCGGCAAGGATTCAGTGGTTCAATCTTTACTTATTCTCCCAGTGGCACTCATACCATGTTGTCTTCACCCAAGCTTCAAGTACCAACCTTGGGACTGACCTCAACCACTAATGGCAGCCCCATTGCCCCTGTTCCAAAAATCAAGAAAGGTAACTTTTCGCACCCTCTCCTGAGAAAAATGTGCTGAACATTCCAAGGAGTCTTCCTGGTGGCTTCCACTCCCACAATCCCTAGGGCCTGCGCTGGGCTAAAGATTGTGGGAAGAGAAGTTCAAAGACTGGAGGGTACCAGGTTATGGAATTTCTTTTATATCTTCATTTAAGCACTGCAGATGTAATTAAGTGGTGCTGAGTTGCAGTGAATTTAGTATGCTGATCTCTTAATTAGCAGGTGGGGCTTTTCACATCAAATATAATGGGAAAATTAGTGGGGGAGAGGCTTTCTCGCACCTCGGAGTAGTCATTAAAAGTTCTATTAGAGCCCTTGAATGCTGTTTCCTTAAAACGATGGGATACAGGTGGTCCTCACTTACCCACTTGTTTAGTCACCGTCTGAACTTAGGATGGTGCTAAACAAGTACTTACAACCAGCCCTTATACTTGAGATGGTCACAGTGTCCCGCAGTCACACAGTTGCCACTTTCTACCTCCTTTGCTGGCTTTCTACAGTCAAAACAAGTCAATGATAAGTCAACGGGAGGTTGCAAATGGCAGCCACATGGGTGCCTGGCTTAATGACCCATGGCAATGCACTGAACAATAGCAGCAGAAGTGTTAGAATTCCTGTTGCTAAGTGGCACAGTCATGTGATATCATGCTTTACCACTGTACTGCATGGCAGTGAAATTTGGGGTCCTGTTATTAAATGAGGACTACCTGTACAAGAACTTGGGGGGGAGAAGGGCAGTTGACTTGGGTCTGACATAGGTAGCCCCTCCAAAGAATTTGAAATGAGGACGTGACTAATGTGTTTCATTGCCTTGAGTGAAAAGTAATCAGTTAAAATATAATCTAGAATTGCACATTCTCATTTACTGGATCATTGACTTAATTCAGGTTAATAAAAACAATGACATAAAGATGCCGTCAAGATAAAATGCTGTGAGAAAAAAGGGTTTGTTTGGGGTGGTAGGAATGAATGTTTTGCTCCTGGGCTTCTCAGAACTTCGAGGGAAAAAAACCTGTCAGGCTCTGCCTTTCGTAGTTACCTTCAAAATGTTATAGCATATTTTTTGCTCTTTATAGTAGCTTTCCTAATTCTCCACAGCTAGAAATACGGTTCTAAAGTTCACAGTGGCCAGACCAAGAGTGTTCTAACTGGGTTGCATGCCTCAAGAAAAATGTGGCTTGTTTAATATAAGCAGCTTCATTCAGGCCATACAATTGCTCAAGCAGCAGAGAACTTTAGTGAAGGAGAAAATGCTGCAGTCAGGCAGTGCCACAGTGTAATAGAGAAGCACCTTATTCTTTTTTGGGGTGGACGACTTCTACCTGTAAGAGCACTGCCTGAATCAGCTAATGTCTACCCCCCCCAGATTTGGCGCCAAGTCTAAAAGTTGATGCATAATGAAATTCTGCAGACTGGGTTTGGGCTCAGAACATCCAAATCTTGCAAAGAAAGATGTTGCAGGGGGAAACATTAAATGAACATGAGAGTTTAGAGTCCCTAAAATGAGTCAGATGGAAAGGCTTGAGCATGTAAGGAATAGGACTGTGCTCCCTTCAAAAATGACTTTGGAAGAAAAACTACAGATCTTGCAGAAGTACAGCAGCTCTATTATTCATTAAAAAAAAAAAAGCCCAACCTTTTTTTTTTGTAGTTTTCATGTAAGCTTTAAAAAAGCAGCTTCAACTACTTTTAAGTATTGCATTAATTTAAGTTTAATTACTTCTGTTAACACTATCATCCTGAAATTATGGGAGCAGTCTCCTAGAGAGATTATAATTTTACCAGCTGCACTTATTTTATGTATGTGTTTTCTAAAAATAAATAATAAAAAAAGCCCTAGAATAGGGGGTGTCAAACTGCCGGCCCACGGGCCGGTTGTGTCATCCAGAAGCCGCGCCCACCCCATTGCCGGCAATGGCAAAACTGTCCCGATACGTTGCGCGACGTCACATGACGTCGCGAGTTTGACATGTCTGCCCTAGAACCATTGTAGTCACCTCTCCCATCACTTTCCCCCCCACACCAGAGGAAGATTCTGCGATTCCTATTGCGGTGCCCACCCGCCTACCTGTCTCACTAGCAAGCCATCCTGTCGTCGCAGCGCAGGCTGCAGCTGTGCAAGCCGCCGCCGCCCAAGCTGCTGTAGCTGCTCAGGCTGCCGCGTTGGAACAGCTACGGGAGAAGCTGGAATCGGGGGAGCCCCCAGAAAAGAAGATGGCACTTGTGACAGATGAACAGCAGCGTCTGATGCAACGGGCAATCCAACAAAACTTGCTCGCCATGACCGCTCAGCTGCCGATGAGCATCCGGATCAATAGTCAAGGGGCCCGCTCACCAGGTTGGTGGGTTACTGCATGTTCCCTCCCTTTCCCCAAAGATCGATAGTCACAGCAGACTTGAGGTAGAGATGGATGGAAGCCACACACCCTCTAGCCCAGGGGTAGGCAACCTTGGCTCTTTTATGACTCGTGGACTTCAACTCCCAGAATTCCTGAGTCAGCATAGCTGACTCAGGAATTCTGGGAGTTGAAGTCCACGAGTCATAAAAGAGCCAAGGTTGCCTACCCCTGCCCTAGCCCAAGGGTTGTTCAGGATTGCCTCATATTGGAGCCTGAAGCATTCAGGGTACAGGTAGTCCTCACTTACCAATGGCAATAGGGACCAGAATCTCTGTCACTAAGCAGTATGGTCATTAAACGGAACATCTTATGACTGCGACTTGTGACTTCCTGCCGGCTTCCCCATTGACTTTGCTGGTCAGAAGCTCGCTGTAAAGGTAATAAATGGTGATGGTGCATGCTGGTTGTCAAGTGCTTGAATCATGACCAGGGGACCCTGCGCTGGCTTTAGCTTTAAGGAGCGCTTGTCTCTATTTTCAGCACTGTCTTAGGTTTGAGCAGTCCCTGAATGATGTTGGTAAGTGAGGACTTACCTGTTAACACTCCCATTAAGAAAGCATTTTGTAACTATTATTGAAGGAGAAAGGTGTGACTCAGTGGCTAGAAAGTTTATTTTCCAAGTAAAGTTCTGTTATGGTCTTGTTTTCATTGTATGCTGCTCAGAATCGTTGTTTTCTGAGATGGGCGGCTATGTACAGTAGTCCTCAACTTAGGACTGGTCACTTAACGACATTTCAAAGTTATGATGGATCTTCCCAAAAACTATGAACCATTTTTGGAATTACGGTGGCCACATAACACTTACCCCCCCAAATCACACAATGGCATTTTGAGCACTTGGCAACCTGCTCACCTTTATGGCTTTTTGCTCTGTGTCCTGCAGTCATATGACCATGATTTGCAACTTTTTTGGCTAGTTTCTGGAGTTTATTTCTGGTTTCCAGCAAAAAACAGCCTTTGGGGACTGCGACATTTGCTTAACAACTACAGCGTTAGCATAACAGCTGTTGAAAAAAAATGTAAAAAATAAATAAATCAAGTCTAGCCACATGTTGCCTTGATTTACAACCACAATGATTTATGATTGTAATTCCAGGCTCAACTACAGTCATAAGACAGGGCTACTGGCAAATGTGATGAATAAAAAAAAAAAAGGATAGATTTTTAAAATCTGTGTAAATGATGTGAATCAAACGAGTTTGCATTTTTTTCTTTCATTTCCGCCAGCTGTATTTTTTCTGCATCATTTTATCCTGCTTTTAACTAGGCCTGGATTGATAACTGAGTGCTCAAACCAGAAAGTAATCACTGACATTTTTATAAGTCTACAAATCCCACCCCCAATTCAGTGAAAATTGAATTTGGTGTCTTTTGATGATACCATTAAAAATTCAAGCTGTCAGGATCTTCCTTTTTTTTTTTTTTTTTACCAAGTTTTCAACATATTCAGAAGATCCAAGTGGCTGAGCGATTGCCTTGATTTTTCCATTTACATTATTGACATGTCCTTCTTTTCAGGCTTGCACATTTAATTTCCAGCTTATAATGTGTAGCCCCAGAGTTAATTTATTGCTGCTTTAAGCTAATCTCTCGCCACACAAAGATCGGTTTTTGAATCTAAAAAAGAGCCCTCTTTATTCTTTTGCAGAAAACCGCCAAGACTCTTCCATGAATCTGGCTGCCAACGGCACCAGTAGCATTAGCATGTCAGTCGAGATTAATGGCATCGTGTATGCAGGTAAGGGGAAAATGCAGTTGGGACTTAGAGAAAATGGCTGGCCGTGCCCATTTGAGGCGAGAGTTGATCGTTCTGTAAACCGTGTCACGTACTGTTAACTTAGAAAAAGGTGGCAAATTTGCAGGTGGATGGTGAGCAACAAGAAAGGAGGAGGGCTACAGCTTGGGGGTATTTATTTATTTATTTATTCTGCAGAGTGTATGGCAGTGACACAGTGATATATCACTAGAGAGGGGAGAGGGCATGTATTTTTAATGCACGCTTTTAAAGGCAAAAGAAGGGTGTTAACAGAAGCTTATCCTGTAAAAAAGACAGAAGGCCTTGAGTACTCCAGGGAGTATATGCAGCAGTTCATAAATTGGAGGTCCTTCCCCCCCCCCCCCCATGTATTAATAGAGAACCTCTCAAGTTCATCTTGACTTGGGATGACTTCCTGTCATTCTCCTGGCAATATTTACTGAACTACTTTGCCATTGCTTTATTGGGGGATTGGGGTGTTTATTTGACTTTCCAATCCCGACTAAAGGTCTGGGATTTTCTAGTGGGCTCCCGTCCAAGTTTTAACTAGCTAAGCTCTGCTTAGCTTTTCACAATCAGCCAAGATTGACTAGCTCCTGCTATCTAGCGTGACATCTCTGCGTTGAGATGTAAAAACGAATGTGCTTACTCTAAAGTACTGCCCTCTTTAGTTACCCTTGGCACATTAATCCACATGGGTTACATTGCTTGAAAGGCGATAGTCTAGTTTGGGGGCTTCGATTATTATAGGGAGGTTCAAAATGACGGGCTAGGGGAGGAGAAGAGTTACAGCCGTTGTGAACCTGCCCTGTCCATTTTTTGTTCCCTGTTTCTCTCCAGGAGTGTTGTTTGCCCAAACTCCGGGAGCCTCGTCTTCTCACAATAAAGGAAGCGCCAACAGTGGGCGGAGTTCCAGCAGCACTGGCGGTGGGGGTGGGGGTGCAACAGGTGGCACGGCAGCAGGTTCACAAGTTGGTGTGGCCCCTGCACCGACTTCTACCTCAACCAACTCCTTATCGCCTTAAGCCCACCACCTCTTCTTCCTCCTCCATCCCGCCAAAATGAAGACTCTCTGTTTGGACAGGACGTTTTGAGACCAGCCGTCCCCTTCCCTGTTTCCCCCGTGTGCAGTGGGGGAGTGAAATTGTGCCTTCCCCACCCTCCGATACCCCCAGGCATCAGGGCCTGCGCGATACATTTGGATGGGGTTTTCTTGGATTTTGGGGCAGGATGGGGGGGGGGGGTAGAATCGGTGACAAACCTAACCGCATGTGGCATCCAGCCATGGACATTGAGGGGTAACAAGAATTGTGCAGGTGGTTTCTAAAGGTGCAAACTCCCCCCTCCCCACCCGGGCAGCAAGGAGTTCAGGGATGGTACTGTCCCAGGATGGGACAAGGATTCAGAAAACAAAGTGCATTTTTTTTCCCCCAATGTAGCTGAAAACCAAACACCAAACAAAATTCAGGGGAAGTGGAGTTCCTGGAATGATGGTTTTCTCCTGTCCTCCCTCCTCTCCTGCATATTCCCCCCTCCCCTTCCTCCCCTTTAAAGCATTCTTTACCCACTTAGTATTCTGTGTTTAGAGTTGTGCTTCATGGGGTCCTGGGCATCGCAGTCCCTACCTACCCAGAGGACACCAATTTGGGGGAAGGCTGTTTCTAGTGAACACATTGGAAAGAACAACCACACAAAAGCTAAGTGGGGTTGGAGGGGTGTTGTTAAATTCTGAGCCGGAGCAATACTGTGCAGACTAGCTTTTTGACGTGATGCATTGTAGATCCATAACTCCTTACCTCATGCAAATCCACACTTTGCACTGTGTGTCCTTTTGATTTTGATTTTGTTTTTTTAAATTAATTCTTTGGGATACCTCCAAATAGCGGTGGCAGCAGTAGCAGTAGGTGTGCCTCCACTCTCACAGGCTTGCTTTGAAATGGAACCCTAAATAATAATAATAATAATAATTAAAAAAAATACAAATATCAAGGATTTCACAGATTGAGGATAATTTGGGGAAAGTTTTAGTCCTTGCCTTTTTTGAAAACTGCTGTCAAAACTATTTAAGGAAAATGAAAGGGAGGGTGTAAATACAGTGTTTATTTTCAATAGCTCTCTCTCTCCTCCCCCAAATCAGACCCATAAGCAAGCTTCATGTCTTTGCATTTGTTAAGGAAAGCACCTCTAAAATAGGTTTCTTGTTGTTTTTTTCTTGTGATGATAACAACTCTTTGGAGCTGTCATTCTTCCTCTCTCCCCCCCAGATCTGGGTAGGGCTTTGAGGTTGCTCAGGTAGTTTTTTGTGTGTGGAGTGGGTGGGGTTTGAGGGGGCTATGGTAGCATTTCATAGGATAATATTTTTATACAGAGCTGCCCCACCCCATGTATGGATTGTACATTTGTGAGAATGAGCACTGAAAGGAGCAGCCTGCCAGCTGTTTATTTGTTGGCTCTCTTCTAATTCTTTATCTTAACCTACAGAAGATTCCGTCTGTCATATGGTCAGAGTGGCTGATTACTTCAGCGGTTTCTTAAAAACAATTTAAATAGTAGCATTTACCTGTGGCATAATCTCTTGCAAAGCTGCTTTTGTCTTAAGCTTCTTTTCAAAGCACACCTATTTAGAAAACAGATGAGAGTGGCATAGTCACTATGACTTCTCTCAGGCTGGTGGGAATTATAACCACAGAATCCCCAAACACAGTTCTCAGTCAACTTGCAGCTACTAATATTTAACCCCCCCCCCTCTCCCTTTTTTTCTTTGAAGACCATGATTTGTTAGAAAGAGCTCTAAACTCCTCAGACTGTGTTAGGATTGGCTTCCTTGCCAGCGCTCAGATAGGTTTGGAACTGGGAAATTAGAACCTTGTCACAGGTTGTCGTGTGCCTCCAAAGGTAGTTTTAGCAGAACTTGCCTGACTATTATACAGGGTTGTGTGGGATTCTACCAGTCTCCTGTGCTGTTGGGATCTTCATGGTACTCCAGAATCACTCCTGCCATATTTATAATTTCATTTACAAAGGGTCTTGCAGGACACATATCCTCCATTATTTCTAGCAGAGATCACTCAATTTTTGCCCCTTAGCTCACTCTTCTTGCATCCTTTCTTTGACTTTGATATTTGGATTTGTTTTAGAATAGCTGTGTGAGAGGCATTTACCTAATTTTTTCCCCCACTGCTTTTTTCAGTAACAAAGAGCGTGACAGGAACAGCTTGGTTGGTAGGTCCTCTGCAAAGTTTAGAAAGGTAGTTTAGAAACAAGATATTCACAATCTCATGGGGCCCCGTTTTCAGATTTTCTTTTCCTTCTTACCTCTTCCTTTAATGCATTTTAGGAAAATAGATTTCCTTTGGAGTTCAGCATTTTCATTCCAAAAGGCCAGTGAACCCCAATAACATCAGCAAGATATTCCTCATTCACCTTTGCCAAGGGCCCTGTGCCTATTTTGATGGCTCTTTCCTCCCACATTTTAATTTGCTGCTGAGGGAAGTGGATCCTGGTGAGCAATTTGGTTAATTCCCTCTTTCGATTCTCCTAGGTATATGCACTCCAATTCACTCCCTTTGTGCCCTCTGAAAGTATAATTTATTTCAGCCTGTGCAGTTAAATGACTGCCGCTTTCAAAGAAACAGGGCCTCTTTAAGAGAGACCCTATTGGTGGATTTACCGTGATATGAGACAGAACCTTGAAAATTAGGCAGTTGGAAGATGTTGCTTTATCATTGACCTCCTCCCAACATTAATCACATACTGTAGAATCAAGATTTCATTTTGACAGGTTTTAATTTTCTGTGTGGTTAGCCTGAGTAAGTTCTGAGAATTTTTATGGGTTTAAAGCAGGCGTATATTCTTTCTGCCTCTTCATTGCTGGGATTTTTAATTGCTATCGCTTAGTTGCATCATACAGTAGACTGACATGCAGTAACCCTTTCCCTCAGGATTGGTTTTTTTTAAGTTGGATTCTGAGATTCTGTACTTGATTCAGCATAACAGAAAGTATTTGAGTTAGATGTCAGGAGGCATTTTTCAGCCTCATTGAATAACCCGTTTCAGCCAATTGGGTAACCCAGACATTGGAAAAAGGAGTCCTATACTTCTGATCGGATGCCAAAGTAGCAAGGGCTAACATGTGGAAAATTCACAATTGTGGATCTAGCAGCTTTTGGGCATGCTAAGAATGGGGAAATTCTTATTTTCAGCATCCACAAATACCCAAAGGAGCGCACTTCACTTTGGGAAGCAGAGTGTCCTGGTCAAGCTGAACCATTTCCCACAGTTAACAGATCCCAGGCGCTTCACTTTATATTGGGCCCTTTTATTGTAGGACAGCTTTTCAGCATTGCAGCCCCTCCCCTCTAATGCCAGATAAGGTGAAACCTCTTGGCCACAATGCTTCCAGATCTAGAAACATGGGGCAAAGCACGTCGTCTCTAAATGGTGAAGAAGGAAGATGGGTTCGCTTTTTGAGAGGAATGGAGTGCTCTGAGCCCCACAAGCTGCCACACACGGGGGATTTTTCCATTCTCAGGATTGCAGAGTATCTCATAGAGGAAAAAAAAGACTTTCTTCAGAAAGTGAAATCCAGGAGATTGGCTTCTAAGGGGTATAGAGGAACTGCAAAGTGGCTTAAATATGAAAGGGAGAAGAAGAAAAGTACTCTTAAAGTGGAATTGCTGAATCTGACCCTTTTTAGATGGTTCCAAACAGACATTCTCTTTTTCTCTCTCTCCTTCCAGAACTCTGTTGACACAGGTAGGGGAATGCAAAAAGAGGGAAACATGGCTGTCGTCAGGCACGCTTACAAAAAAGGCTTTTCCTCTTTAGTTAGATGCTGACTGGGTTGGAGGAGGAAGAGACACATTTCTCTGTCCACTTGTGGTCATTGCCAGAGGGGCTATCTGTGACCTATAGGCAGCCAAAGGGAGGAGAGCATTGGGACAAGGTGTCCCTCATAATTTCATCTGTGCTCCATTGGTTTGATAACGGGGTGGTATCATATCCCAATCTGGAAGCATTCCTCTCCCTGGAATGCTGACACTTGAAGACTTTCTGTGAAGACTAACTACGAAATTGGAGCCTTTCCCCTCGTGCCTTTTCCACAGTTCTTGGTATTTTCTTGTGTTGTCTGCCGAATCAGCGTTACCCAACACGATTCTCTTCCAAATGTGATAGGACTGCAACTCCCAGGATGCCCAGACAATGTGGTGTAAGGTCACTCTAGGAATTCTGGGAGCTGTGGTGCTATCACTGTTGGGAGGGTGTCCAGCTAGGG